CATAACAAACCATGGTCCGACATTGGTGCCTTCGACCCGCTAAAACATAGTGAGGAAACTCACCTCTAGTTGCTGAAATACGCAATAGAATCTCTACCTGCTGGTCTGGATAGTCCCCGTGCTATCATCATCAAAATAATATCCAATTATTAATTGGATCTCGACCCAACCAAGAATCTAAGCTACTTAGCCAATAACTAGGGTAAAAGACCATTTTACCCTTTTTCTTACTTGGCCGACAACCAAGGCCCAACCCAACTACTCAAAAGGCCCAAATCGTAAATGGCAACCCAAGGCCCAATTATGTCCCAATCTTCCAAATTAGGCCCAAAGCCCATCATGGGCCTAAATCCAAGGAAGCCCAAAATACTTGTCAAAAGCCCAAATCAGAAATCTAATGGCCCAATACGGCCCAAATTTAGAAAGCCCAAACTATGGCCAAAACCGAGAAGGCCAAGCCCAAACGCCCAACTATTGAGTATGCAGGGCGTACTCTGCTCATACGCCCAACGTACTCCCCTGATTACTGGTTCTCTTCATTAGGCACTTAATCAGTTAAGACCATTTGTTATATTCTTAGATCTGGTCCCTAAGGGTGACTTATCACATAAAGTTGGCCACTTTACACTCATGCATGACTTAATGGGATCCAATATTAAAAAAGAAGCTTAATAAAGATCTTAATACATGAATGGACCAATATCCTCCATAAAGTTTGCATTTTTATGAACATGGGGCTTTAATGGAGCTAAGATCTAGCATCCATTGGTTATGGAGTAGATAAAAAACACAACTTTAACTCAAAAGACTCAAAAATGCACAAATAACACCATAAAGTAGATCTAGCACAAATGACCCTCAAGGTGAGAGCTTTTTACCTCAAAAGTCTTGCAAATGAGAAGGTAATTCTAGATCTACTAGCTCAAGCTATTCCCCTAAGCAATCACCAAGAGTTCTTCTTTTTATTTTTTCACTAAAACACCACCAAAATCACACTTACAAGCTCAAAACTCACAAGAAGCACTTACAGTTTCGTTTTCAGGGTAAAAGGAGGTGGAGGCTAGTCAAACATGTCTAAGAGGTGCTATAATGAGGTTTAAATAGGGTAAGAAACTCTAAAAATTAGGGTTTGTCCAAACCGTGCGTACTCCCAGCGTACGTGGGTGATGTCTGCGACTACCAAATAGCTAACTAAGCGTACTCATAAAGTACGCCCCGCGTACTAGCCAAGGACCAAAATGAAAAGAATTTGCAATAAAGGGCTAAAAGGAAACTTACCAAAAACTTGATTGTTACATCGGACTTATAATTCCATCTTATATATGCATGCACTCTGTATTCTCCAAACATATAATATAAAATACAAATGATAAGCCCCTTGGCTAATATTTTAGATCAAATTACAAAAAAGCATGGTGACACTAAAATCACTAAGATAGATTTGATTTTGTTTTTATTTTATGTTTCGATGTTAATTGTTTTTGTACGTTTTGGTGCTTTATTTATATATGTTCCTACTTATGGGTTTGTTCACATATAATAGGTAAAAGCGTAATTATACACATTAAATTTTGTAAGTTAAATTTTGATGATTTTATTGATAAAAGTTACGTTTCGACGTAAAAAAACACGTAAGATAAAATTAAGCACGAAACATAAAAAAATCAAGTCGAAATGTAGACGAACTAGAATCTATACCGATACGTATACAAACGTAAAAAAAAGTTACATCAAAACGTAGACAAACTCGAATATAATACACTTTTTTAAACTCATGAACGAAAGTTATTATATGTGACCAGAATAATACGTAGGAATATAAAAAATTAAGCACAAAAACGTTAAAATGTAAACAAACTTGAATATAATACGTTTTTTAAAATTAACAAACGAAAGTTATTATGAGAAAAAAAACATGCAAAAAATAAATTAATTAAAATTATGCGTTTAGTTATCAGACTCAGTAACAAATGAGTTAATTATAACAAAATATTAAACACAAAGGTTTAAACTGTAAATTTATTTGAAATTGAAATTAAAATTTAAAATTTAAAATTTGAAATTAATAGTCATTATGGTAAGTTTAATTTGTGGAAACTAATTTAATGATATATTGAAAATAAAAAATGAAATAAATGACAAGTGAAAACTAAATATATCTCAAAATTATGAAAAAATGATATGTGGTCAATTGAACGAGAGAAGGACATATAACAAAATCATTCTTAATTATTATGATAGATGTTAATTTTTTGACGATTGTTATGATAAAAGTTACGTTTCAACGTAAAAAAACGCGTAAGATAAAATTAAGCCGAAACATAAAAAAAACTTACGTCGAAATGTAGACGAACTCGAATCTATACTGATAAGTAAAAAACTGTAAAAAAAAGTTAAATCGAAACATAGACAAACTCGAATATAATACATTTTTTTAAACTAACAAACGAAACTTATTATATGTGACCCGAATAATACGTATAAATATAAAAAATTAAGCACAAAAAAACATCGAAATTTAAACAAACTTGAATATAATACGTTTTTTAAAAATAACAAACGAAAGTTATTACGAGAAAAAAAAACATGCAAAAAATAAATAAATAAAAATTATGTGTTTAGTTATCAGACCCATTTAATAAACGAGTTAATTATAACAAAATATTAAACACAAAGGTTTAAACTGTAAACTTATTTGAAATTGAAATTGAAATTTACAATTTAAAATTTGAAATTAATAATCATTATGGTAAGTTTAATTGATGGAAACTAAATTAGTTATATATTTGAAATGAAAAATGAAGTAAATGACAGTGAAAAATAAATATATCTCAAAATTATGAGAAAATGATATGTGGTCAATTGAATGAGTGAAAGACATGTAACAAAATCATTCTTATTTATTAAGATAGATGAGTTGAATTGGATTGATGTATTTTGACCCGTCAACTCGTGACCCACGAACCCAAACCCGATCCAATTGTCACACCTTTATAATCTGATAATATATACAACATAAAGAAGAATACACACTAGTTCTTTTTAAAAATTAAATGTATGTTATTTTTAATTTTTATAACTATATGCATGGAATTTTTATCATCTTTTATATTTTTGGAAATATAGCATATGTTAATATAAACTATATGAAAAAGCTTTATAAGAGATTTAACAATTTTAAATTAAAAATTAACTAATTAATGTTCTTTTTTCAAAATGTTACCTATCTTTAGTTTATTTAAGATTTTGATATAGGTAAAAAAAATTATTTCCAAAAATAGTATTTTGACACTCTTTTTAAAATTTGTTAGGAGATAAATTTGTAGTTTATACTTTACTTTACATAGTTTTTATAGTTCTCGGTCTACGACCGAAAACACCATGAATTCGGTGGTGTTTGGACCGAAATCACCATGTGATTTTGGTGGGCTCAATAATGTTTGCGGTTGGGTTTTGGGTTGCGCCTTTGTAATTAGGTCTATGTATATATATAGTATTGTTTCAGGCGTGTAAAGTGTTGGACATTCTATTAGCTGATTTCTAGTTTAAGAGAGATAGAGAGAACCGAGAAACATAGAGATCTTAAGTACTAGACTATCGATCAATATAGTGCGCATTGAAGATTTGATATTATGCTCTTAATTCGTTATAACTGTCATTAATCATTAGATTGGGATTCTGCACCAATTCTAGTGATCTCGATTGATACATTATACCGGGTTTTACAATTTGTATCAGAGCAAGGATTGCTATCAATCGATTTGGAAAAGTATTAAACGTTTCTTGGAATTTTTCTTGGTGTTTTTGGTGTTTTTGAGTTCTTTTTGACGAAAAATTGTTGTTGTTGTTCTTCGTGTACGTCACTAAATTGGAAACTTTGATCAAAATTGGTTTTGAAAAATTACCAATTTCGTGTTTCTGGTGCTTTTGGGAGTTTTTCGGTCAGGTCTGGACGTTTTCGGCGGCAGAGTTCAAGTTCTCGGCTAGGTCAACTTATTTCGGCGCCTACTGGAGTTCTCGATCAGCAACTAGGTCAATCGTCTAGTTTTCAGTCAGACAGGATTTTAGATCGTGTTTTCGGTCAACGATCTCGGTCAACGTTTTCGGTCAACGGGTTTTTGGTCAACAATCTTGACCTTTTGATTTTTCGGTCAAACTTAGTAGTTTCCGGTTAAACCATATACCTTTTGGTTTTCAATGGACTCAGACAACACCTCTCTTTCAACAATGCAAAGTGATCTTGATTCAGTTATGGGGACAACAACTCGAATTCCCCGACTGCTGATTACTGATGGATTTCCTGAGTGGAAATTCAGATTTGAGAAGTATGTTAAAATGAAGGATATCAAAGTGTGGAGAAGCTTCCTAAGAGTTCCAGTCAAGATCACAACCACTCTGGATGATGAAGCTAAAACGGTGGTTGATAAGCCTACATAGGAATACACTAATGAGGATTTCGACATGATTGAAGATGATGAGAAAGCTTTGGCTATTCTTACCATGGCTTTGTCCCCTGACATTGCTCAACGTTTCCGAAAGTATAAATATGCTAAGGCTTTGTGGGAAGCCTTGATTAAGGTGTATGAAGGGAATGAGGATATGAAGCAAAGCAGACAAGATTTGCTTCGTCAAAGATTCAACATGTTTAATCATGTTCTTGGGGAGGCTCTGGAAGCCCAGCTGCAGCGTTTTATTACTCTAAACACAGAAATGAGCATTGTTGGAATTGTGTTGTCTCGCTCTGAGATAAATAAGAAACTGCTCAATTCACTTCCCAAGAAATGGGATATGAATGTGTCTGTGATCAAGAAAACAAAGGACCTAAGCAAACTCTCTCTCTTGCCGAAGTGATGGCTATCATCATGGCACGTGACATGGATGACAAGCAGAGAGAAATTAATCATGTCACTTCCTACTCAACTGCAAGCTTAGGAGCATCCACTAACAATGCATTTTCAGCTGTATTACCGCATCATGCTCCTCCATCTTTTGGTCTACCAATGACATCTCCCAACTCTTCTGCATCAAGTTTCACCACCCAATCCACCTCGCAGACTCCAGCCGCTGCCAAAGGAGCTGAAGAAAACATGGCTATGATGGCTGGATTCATGAACTTCTACAATGCCTTTGTTGCTGGTGAATTAGTTCCTCCAGTTATGATTGGAGAACTCGATCAAATTCATCCTGAGGATGATGAAGAGATGGACATATCATGGCAAGTTGCTATGGAGGTATTTAGAGCGAAGAAGTTCACTCAGTGAACTGGAAAGAATAGGGTAGTGAACGTGGATAAGAAAGTGGGCTTCAACAAGAGTAAGATGAGGTGCTACAAATGTCATAATGCAAGTCATTTTACTGTGAGTGCACCAAGCCAAGAGTGGAGAATAATGTTTAGAGGGCTTTGGTTCCAGCTGGAAACAACAGAGAAACGCCTCTGAATAATGAGAATGCTATGGTGGCACAACAATTTTCGTGGGAAGATCAGATGCAGGCTCTCAACCTTACTGAAAATGGAAGAGCTACTCTTGCCCAGATTCAAGATGGTGAGGATGCAGATTTGGCTGAGGACAAAATGATGGAGTTGCAGTTCGCTTTCATGGTCTCCACCGCTCCTACCACCAAAGAGGTTAGTGAAGTTTCATGCTCTAAATCTTGCGTAGATAAAGTTAATAAATATCGTGAGAAAAATGAGTTATTAGTTAAAGAAGTTTTCGATCTTAAAAATGAAATCTATGAAATTAAGAAAGTAAACAAGCCTCTTAAAGAAAAACTAGATGCTCAAAATAAAGATTTAATTAGGATTAGGGAGGAATATAGCACCAAATGTGTTCACCATCGTTATGCTAAAGAGGAAATTGCCAAATTAACTGTCGAACTTGATGCGTTCAAAGCTAAGTTTAAAGATGTTGAATTTAACTTTAAGAAATTTGATATGTCAAGTGAGATAGTTGAATCTATGATAGAAAAACAATTGAAATGGAAAGATAACCAGAAAAATGGCTTAGGGTATCATAGTGTTACACCTCCTTTTAATGATAATTATTTTTCTGCCTCTGAGACTATAGAAATAAAAAAACCTGCTCAATATGGCCAGCCCCTTGTATCAAATTCAGTTAAGACTAAACAATCTGGCCCCACTAAAAGTGTTGAGGTGAACGATACTGACGTCTCTACCACATGCGCAGATCAAGTATTAGTGGAAGATGAGGACAAGGAAGATATTAATAATGCTAGTTCTGTTGAAAACCTTTCAAATACTAACATTTCTTTTTCTTCTGTTTCAAATAATTGTGTGAACAAAGATATTAAAATTGCTCTTTTGGATTCTTTTAAAAATTGGGGTGATGTTGCTTTTGATTCAAATTCAAATAGTCATGTTTTTGAAAAAATTTAAGCCACATAAATTTGTGAAAAGTATGATAAATGTAAATGTGCATATGGAAATTCTTTGAAATAAGACTCTTTTGGGCCAGGACCAAACTCCAATAACACTTTCTTGAAAAGTCAGACTTGTTTTAATTGTGGGACTCCAGGTCACATTGCTTGAAACTGTCCGCATCATTCACATGCTCCCTTCTCTGAATTCGGATGGACAAACGTGCCAAGGGGGAGATCTTCCAAAAGAAATCCTTCGAGGCCATGTCCCCGTAATAACAACTGGAATGATGACAAGGCCAAGAATCAGGCCTTCAAGGACAAAACAAAAGATAACTCAAGAGATGGCTCAACTAAAGCAAATCATGTGTGGTCAAAGTTATCTCAAGGGTCGTCCTCTAGCTCACACTTACAATACAAGCCTAAATTGAAAGGTAGTCCCACCCCAAAGTAAAATGAAAAAGGTCCCATTCAGTCCAACAAGAAAGTACACAAACCAAATTACCAATGGGTACCCAAAGTCCTTTCTTCCAAATCATCAATTGGTCCAAAAAGGTCTTCAGATTCTTTGAAATCACTATTTGATAAACAAGATATGGTATGGGAAAGAGTATCTCGAGTTGATAGTAATGGTCAACCCAGTTTCAAGATGGACTGGGTTCCCACAAGTAATTAATCCCGCAACGTGTGCAGGAACAACTATGGAGGAATATCATCAGACCTTGGTATGTTGATAGTTGTTGTTCCAGGCACATGACAGGAAACATATCTCAACTGCATGACATTCAAAATATTAATGGTGGTTATGTCTACTTTGCGGGAGGAGAAAAGGGAAAAATCACTCAAATGGGGACCGTTACAAATGGTGTGTTGAATTTTCAGAATGTCAACTTCGTTCCTGAATTGAAACATAGTTTGTTGAGTGTCTCTCAAATCTGTGATAGAGACTTCTCAACTCATTTCACCAAGAATAAGTGCTTAATTCTAAATCCTGGAATCGTTATACCAGAAGAATGTATCTTGGTGAGATCAGAACGTCAAAACAACTCCTATATCATTGACATGAATCACAACATGTCAGAGAACGTTACTTGCATGTTCTCAAAGACTTCTGAACAGAATGCTATACTCTGGCATCGTCGCCTCGGACACGCAAATGCAAAGAATGTAAATCGTCTTGCCAAAAATGATCTTGTTCAAGGATTCCCTATAAAAGATTTTGACACCTTCGAGAAGTGTATGGCTTGTGCACAGGGAAAGCATCATCGAAAACCGCACAAGCCAAAACTAGTCAACTCAATCGACACACTCTTCAATTGCTTCATATGGATCTCTTTGGACCAGTCAATGTTCTTATCATCAACAAAAGCTCGTAGTGTCTGGTTATAATAGATGATTACTCAAGTTTTACCTGGGTATTCTTTCTGAAGAATAAGAGTGAGACAGCAGAGCTGATCAAGAGGTTCATGGTCCTGATTGAGAATCAGACCAATGAGAAGGTGAAAGGTATCTGGTGTAACAATGGGACAGAATTCAAGAATGCTATTTTGGAGCATTTCTGTACTGAAAAAGGGATACAACGTCAATACAGTGCTACTCGTACACCTCAACAAAACGGTGTTGCTGAGAGAAGGAATAGAACCCTAATTGACGCTGCTAGAACAATGTTGTGTGACTCAAAATTACCAGTGTTCTTCCGGGCTGAGGCTATCAATACCGCATGTTATGTTCAGAACTGGATATTAATCAACAAACATCAAATGAAGACTCCGTATGAAATCCTCTACGGTCACAAACCATATGTTACTCATTTCCGCACTTTTGGATGCCCATGCACTCTTCTTCATCTCGTAGCCACTCCAAAGTTCAATTCAAAGGCTGATTACTGCTATTTCGTCGGGTATGCTGGACACACTGCTTATCGGGTCTACAATAAAGCTACCAAGAAGATCGTGGAGTCCTTTGATGTCTGCTTGCTAGAAGAAAACGAGACAGATGCTTGAGTCGGCCCTGATTAGTTATTTGATTATGCTGAATTGTTTAAACCATTTTATGTGTTTTCTGATAATGTTTCAGGTTCTCATCTAAACTCGTGTGGATCAAGTAGGGATGATGAAGAAGAAGTGATCATTCCTGAACCTATCATGCCATTGATACTGCAGGATGAATCTACAAACTTGAATGGTGGCACTCCGGAACCCCAACCAGCAGATGATGACTCACCTGCTGAATATTTAAAAAATGGTGACGATTCACCAGTTCTGGAAGAAAATGTCGCCTCTACTGACAATGTCACCTCTGACTCTGCAGAAACTTTTGATTCTACTTTTATGGATTTTCTCTTTCCTGGGAGAATCCCTGATGAGTATGTGGCAAGTACTTCGTATGAATTTCGATCATCGGATAGAAGTGATTCAGCCACAGGCAGGGTAGAGAACATCACGAATCTTGCAGTCTCTTCACAAGTGGTGGATCATGAAATTTCTTCAATAGTTCAGCGCAACCATCTCATCGAAAATGTTTTAGGTTCACTATTGGATGGAGTCAAAACCAAAAGCTAGAGCATAACGAATGTCTATATTCGTGCTTCATATCCCAAATCAAGCCAAAGAACGTTGAGATGGCTCTTAATGAACCGAGTTGGGTGGATGTAATGCATGAAGAGCTGAATCAATTTGAGAAGCTGAAGATTTGGCAACTGGTAGAACTTCCTGAAGGAAAGAAGTCCCTTGACACAAGATGATTTTTTTGCAATAAGCAAGATGATAGCGGGGTGATTGTGTGAAACAAGGCACGTTTGGTTGTTCGTGGTTTCAGGCAAATAGAAGGTCTTGATTACAGAGAGGTATATGCTCTCGTGGCTCGACTGGAAGCAATTCGTATCTTCTTAGCATACGCCTCCTACATGGGTTTTACTGTATATCAGATGGATGTCAAAACTTCCTTATTGTATGGAGAAGTAAAGAAGAAAATCTATGTTGATCAACCACCAGGTTTTGTCAACTCAAAATTTCCAAATCATGTGTACAAGCTGGACAAGGCACTTTACGATCTTCATCAAGCCCCTCGAGCTTGGTACGCCACGTTGACCGAACATCTATTAAGTCATGGGTATACAAGAAGCACGATTGATCAGACGCAGTTCATCAAAAGAGCGAATAAAGACCTTATTGTTGTTCAAATCTACATGGATGATATCATTTTTGGGTCAACAAATGATGAACTATGCAAATATTTTGAAAGGACATAAAGATAAGGTTTGAGATGAGTTCTTTAGGCGAAATGACAATGTTTCTAGGATTGCAAGTGCGTCAGGATTCTTCAGGCATTCTACTGCATCAAGGAAAATATGTTGATGATATTTTGGAGAAATTCGGGTTCAAGGATGCTAAAATTGCTTATACTCCCATGGTTGAACGATCATTGCTGACATAAGATCCGGATGGAGAATCAGTTGATCAAACTTTATATCGATCCATGATTAGCTCTCTGATGTATTTGACCACTAGCAGGCCAGATATACTCTTTGCAGTTTGTCAATGCGTGCGCCATCAGGCTAATCCTAAACTTTCTCATTTAATTGATGTCAAACGAATTTTTAGGTACCTTAAAGGGAGACCTAAATTGGGTCTCTGGTATCCTAAAAATCGTGAATTTGATCTTTATGTTTTTGCTGACAGCAACTATGGAGGTTGTGACATTGACAGGAAATCTACAAGTGCTGGATGTCAATTCTTGGGAGACAGACTGATCTCATGGTAGTGCAAGAAACAACAAACTGTGTCCATTTCTACAGCTGAGGTTGAATACGTTACTGCATCTGATTACAGCTCTCAGGTCATCTGGATGCAATACCAACTGCAGGATTATGGTTTGAATTTTCTTGACACTCCTGTCTTCTGTGATAATGATGCTGCTATTCAAATTGTTAAAAATCCAGTTCAACATTCTAAAACCAAGCACATAGATATTAAAGTTCATTTTATACGAGATTGTTTTGAGCATAAACTTGTTCATTTGGAACAAATCCACACTCATAATAATGTGGCCGATTTGTTTACAAAACCTTTTGGAAAAGCTCATTTTGATGTGCTTGTGAGTTTTCTTCAAATGATTCAAAGAATGACACAAATTTTCTTTGTATATTTTGTATTTTATTTAAAATTGTTCACATTTTTCTTTCTTTTTCCTCTATGCACAAATTTAAGGGGGGGGGGGGGGGGGGGGGAATTAAAACCAAACAAAAAAATCATAAAATTCAAAACTCCAAAAATATGTTTATTTCTGTTTTTATTTCTTTTTTAGAAAAACAAAAAATCCAAAAACATTTTATTGCTTTTGAGCGTATTTTAATTTTATTTTATTTCGTAGTTATTTTTTTTATGTGCTAAGTTTATTTTATTTTTATTTTTATCTAAAAATTTCATTTGTCTTAAAACGCGAATTCAAAAGAAGAAGAGACTCAAGGAGACTGTGTCGAAATTTTCTGTGCAAGAAGAGATCTTGAAAGGAATTGACATAATTACACTTCACACTACTCTTATAAGGAATTGAAGGCATGAAACTGTACAAACTGTCAGTTAGGCAGTTTCTTTTAAGAACTGTCGTATTTAAGGAATTGAAAGGTTGAAACTGTACCGATTGTCAAAATTGGTCTTGTCAGTTATCTTTACCTAAGAACTGTCATGGCACCAAGGCGATTCACCCAACCGGGAAATAGATATCGCTGAACATCCCGCCCAGGGTCTTGACATTCTTTGTGTCATGCAAAACTGCGGAGACTCAAATGTATTCTAGGATATGTTCTCCGCAGGTAAGGAATTAACGGTTATTGGCACTAGCGTGATGCACCTCGCAAGGCACGATTATCGCTGAATGTCCCGCCAAAGGGCCTTGACCTCGTGTCATGCTAAACTGTGGAAATATGTCCTCGGATATTTTTTTCACAGGATGGTTTTGTGAGTTATTCCTAATTAACTCTCACTGGCACTAGAATGGTACACCCAGCTGAGATTCAGAAACCATTGAACCTCTCGCCAAGGGCGAAGTTAACTTGTTAACTTGAAAAACTGTATTGAGGTATTTGATCGAGGATATGCAGGGGCTAGCATCAAAAATAGTCATGAATAGTTCTCCGATATTCAACGAATCGCAGTGCGTTCCTCTGTGTTCACACATATACTGCAAGTAGTCTCCATCTGAGCCAAGGCTGGGTCCTTGAACAACTGTGGTGAGAAGGGTCTTTATGACAATGTGATCCACAGGGACTTTTTGTCATGGTTACTTTTCAAGATGCACCTGTGATCGACATAGAATATTCATTTAAAGGAACAAGAAGTAAAGATTATTTTTCAACACACAACCTTTTAACCCCAGAAGCCAGGTGAAGTTGTATTTGAAGTTATGGGTCGAATTGCATTGAATCCTCCTCAATCAATTTGTTGCTATTTATGAACTGGTTGAAGTGATCCAGAAGAGTTGGTCTCTCTGTAATTATCTCTGAAGTATTTCAAAGCTAAAAGTGCTGATTTTCAAGAACCTATACAAGAACCATCTATACCCAATGTGCGTTCAAAGTCATATTTTAAAGGAAGTCCAACTTTTCAAGATGAAGTCATTCATGTAGAAATTCATATGTTCATCTTGAAGTCGTAAGGAAATTGAAGATAAAAGCTGAAAGTCAAGATCAAAGAGAAGATTGAAAACAAAAGAAAGCTATAAACCAAGGGGGAGATTGTTAGGACATAAATTTGTGGTTTATACTTTACTTTACATAGTTTTTAGAGTTCTCGGTCTACGACCGAAAACACCATGAATTCGGTGGTGTTTGGACCGAAATCACCATGTGATTTCGGTAGGCACAATAATGTTTTCGGTTGGGTTGTGGGTTGGGCCTTTGTAATTAGGTGTATGTATATATATAGTATTGTTTCAGCCGTGTAAAGTGTTGGTCATTCTTTTAGCTGATTTCGAGTTTAAGAAAGATAGAGAGAACCGAGAAACAAAGAGATCTTATGTACTAGACTATTGATCAATATATTATGCATTGAAGATTCGATATTGTGTTCTTAATTCATTATAATTGTTTTGCATTAATCATTAGATTGGGATTCCGGACCAATTCTAGTGACTTCGATTGATACATTAGATCGGGTTTTACAAAATTGTATTTCAATAACAAACTAAATATACTTGTTTTGAAAAAAAAAAGTTATGAAAAAAATAGACAAAATGTATTATTTAAAAAATATATAATATTATAGTTTAATTTTTGGTTTTTAAATTGTTATATATTTCTACATGCAATAATATTTAACGTGGAAAAGAAGTTGCAACATGCAACTTACATGTTCAAGTTTTCAACTCATGGTTTTGTCCATCCTTTGAGTCAAAGTGTTGACCAACGAAGTCAACTGTGTCTGAAGTCTCAACCCATATAATTAAGCCGGTAATGTTTTGACCAATGACTTTCTCAAAGTGAAACTCTTCTATATAAATCATTTAACCCGACACTTCCATTATTCACATTCCATCCACAAATTACAAAATTTATTTTCATCCAAAGCGACATGACGAGTAAATCACTTGGATCCAGCATGGTCGCTCTCATCTTCATATTCATCATTCTGTTAGCACACCCCATGCATCCACAATCTGACGCGGCTATGTTAACTTCACGCCGTACATACCTCACTCTCTTTTATATTTTAACAGTTCAAATCTTGCCTTATAAAGTGATGCTTCTTGTGATTTGTAAAACTAATAACTCATTTGCTTAAAGTTTTAATTCGATGACTATTATTTTCAGTTTGATGAAAAACCATGTTAACTTGTTAATTAATTTAACTCGTTTTTTAATGCAGAATTATTTCAAGACCCCCGTTATCCACCATGTCTATGCTGTCAAACAGATGCTCCACCGCCACCCCATTGCTATTGTGCATGCTATGTGACTATTTCAGAAAAGCCGTAATGATCTACAAAATCAATAGAAATAAGTCAAAAAGTCATGTTCATAATATACATGTTTAAGCAACGAATGATATATAATATAGTTTACGGAAAATCTTTGAAAGAATATGCTGAATAATGTATGTGTGTTTTTGCTTTTACTATTTGGGTATACAAAATATAAGCAATTCATGAGTTTTGTCTAATAAATGAAATTAGTGATATTGGACTATTGGTGTCCCAGTTTTGTATTATCTTCCATTTGTTTAAACTTACATCAGTTATTAGTTTACGTTAGGGCTGTGGAAAATAACCAAAACCCGAACTATCCGCCCGACCCGTTCTGAATTCTAGTAGATTAGGTCGGGTAGATCAGGTATCGGATTTGAAAATTTGGAATTCGGTTAACCGGATATTTAATTACACTAGTAGAAAACTGGTGCAATAGCTACAACACAATCCGTAGCTATTCCGTAGCTATAACCAAATAGCTACGGAATTGCTACGGAAAAATGGTTGTAGCATAATGGCCCGTGGCTAAATTATAGCTACGGATTAGCTACGGAATAACTACGAAATAGCTACGGAATTTTCCGTAGCTATCATAGCTACGGAATAGCTACGGAAATAAAATAGCTACGGATTTCCTAGAGAATAGTTACGGAACTAAATAGCTACGGAATACCTACGAAAATAAATAGCTACGGAATAGCTACGGAAGTGGATAGCTACGGAAGTAAATAGCTACGGATTTTCTGTAGGTAATCCGTAGCTAATTACTTTTTATTTTAAAAAAAAATAGTAAAAAACTATAAAAATATCCGGTTTTTTCTGTCCAAAATATTGAAAAAACTCATTACATTAAACTTATAATAATATTGAAATTCAACTATAAAACAAATAACATTATAATAAAACTAATAAACCTAAAAAAGTATCAAATACAAATACATATTACTAATGAACATTGTCTAATAATACACATTAAAGTGTCAACTACAAATATTTAAATAAGTGCTTACAAAATAAAATTGAGAACCATTTGATGGATTACTTGGCAAATTAGCAGGTAAGTTGAATCGATAAAGGCGGACAAGTGCTCTTCAATTTGAGTTTTGAATCAAAGGGCGTCAATTGTTCCTGTTTTAGCACACCATAATCAATGATCACAAAAAAATACAAATATAACAATGTACTTTCATTTATTTGTTTATTATAGCCATAATTTGAATTTTTTTGAAAGTATAACACTATGAGTAAGACAAAATGAAAGTAGGGTGTTATAATAAGCTTGTATATCTTTCATTTAACTAGCTCAAAAATAAAAACATATTTCATTCCAAGACTACCAAACATACATGATGTCTTTTGAACTTGTACTTTCTTGAAAAGCGAAAGCATTTGTAAAGAGGAAGTTCAATCCATATTACGCCCCTGCACACCATATTACGCCCCTGCACACAGGAAAAAAAAAGAAAAAAAATTCTTAAACTTTTTGTTTCTTTCCAAACACTTTTAAATCCTAAGGATATAGACAAAAGATTCTTTGAAGCAAACATTTACATTTTTTATTGCATTAAACAGCTTGCAAAGGGTGAAAGCCATCATGAATAAGAAAAATTTAAACTCTTAAGCCTTTGGAAATTATCTAATGTTATTTATATCTCCTAAACAAAGTGACCAAATGTTGTTTATATCCTCCTAATAACTTTTAAATCCTAAACAAAAGTTGTTTCTATACATTCTCTAAATCCTAAAACATATTGTTCATCTTAAATTTTAATTATTACAACAAATAGATTCATTTTTTTCATGGACAAACCTATTTTTAAGAACCATTGCTTAGGTTGTCAAACCCCTTTGAAATTAATCATCTCACAACCATTTTGACAATATACTTTCAACAAAGTTTCTAAACCACATGTGAAGTGCACATTTTTTTTCAGGTATACCCGATTACCTGATTTTATTTATTTATTTGTTGTAATACAGTCGCTATAATAAATTATTCCACTATCTTAAATTCTTATGTAAGATTGATTATTCAAACTTCACTTGTGAAGTGCACATTTTTTTTTCTATAATTATAACAACTGATCATAACTTCACATTATTATATACACAAACATATTTTCTATCAAGAAAAAGAATGTGCATGCACTAGTAAACTTGTCACCACGGCTGTTAATACGATATACTCTATTTACTGGATGCTTTCCTTAAATATCTTTATCAGGGCATGTGACTTGCATATTCTTAATTTGTTTTCTCAGCGTCTATACAAAATCAGAACCCAATTTATTATAGAAATGGAGAACCGGTTATACATTTGTATTCTTCATGATCCATCGTTTTACACTACCAATAAATATTACAATAAATGTTGTTGGTTATAACATTGTACTTTGAATGTACTCAGTTTATTTCATAAAAGTAACTTAATTATAAACAAATACAATTCAGACAAATACAAAGCATTTCAATTGTCATATCCTACTTTCTACCGGATATTTCTTGTACTTAATTTATATCAAAATTCATAAAAATAGATGTCCACTTACATGAGCAAATCTAACGTCTTGCTAGTTTTGAAGAGATAATTTTGTTACAAAAATACATGACGAGAAAGAAAAAACTCATGTTCCATTTGGTGTTGAAAGTTACACGAAGAAATATGATGTTCTATAGGAGTATGTCCATGAGTTATTCAACAAAAAAATTAAATGTGTGAAAAGATATAACCCAACAGTCTCATGTGTAAAGATGTTCCCATGACTCTAATAACGTGTGTGATCAACTTGGCATGGGTGATGTATATTCTATATAGTGTAAAGAAAATTTCATACATGTTGGAGAAGAATTAACTGATCATATCAAATCTCTTCTTGTTCGTTCTATCCTAAACTAATTTCAATACATAAATGAGCCAACGCATGTTAACTAAGATCAAAAACAAAATGCATTGTAAAAACATTGATTTGCCAGTATGCTAACATATAAAAGGATTACATGTAATCAAACACAAGTAATTGAGATGATCAAAGTGATTTACACTTGTGAGTGTCTACAATAACACAATGCAAGCTATGAGCTCCTATACATACATATATATATATATATATATATATATATATATATATATATATATATATATATATATATATCACATTCTTCAATAACTAAAATTATTTACTCGAAATAAGAGATCTGATTAATGAAAACCCTAATGAAAAAAAAACCACAAGAACCAATTGCAATCATTAGCTGCAATAAACTCAAATAAGTATAAAAATGGAACGCCTAAAATGAATAAACACATATCCACGTATAAACTACCTCAATATAAAAACATCGAGATTTATATGTATGAGAAATGGTGACTTTCCATATAAAAATACTGTGGAGAGACACCTGGGTAGTAGAAGGAGCATGCATGGATTGATATAAGAAGAAAGAGATAGAACCATAAATGAAAGGAAAATCATAGATACATTGTAGCCATGGAATCAATCGGATGTTCTTATATCGTGTCAAGATCCACCACTTGAAAGAATATTCCTCTTCATTCATGTGAAAAACCATGATTTTATTCTCCTTTGAAAGCCTTGACAATATAGAAAACGAGATGAACTAATGACGATACCTTAAGGTGAGGGAAATATATGAAAGCAACTGTAGAATTCCTTGAAACAACATTATGAGTTGTAGTGGTCATCTGAATAGCAGCAAGATCAAAATTAATTAAAGAAGTAAATAATAAATTATAGATGAAGAGGTGAGAAATTAATACCTTAGAAGTTAGAACCGCCGATTTTGATGTTAATTTTCAAGGTCGTCGATAGAGGCATATGGAGGAGGATGTGCAAATGATGCTCATATACACTAAGCGCTGATTAGGGTTTCGCAAACACTAATTCATGGAAATCAGTTGATGTATGAAGTGATTGTTTCTCATGAAGGTGGTGCTCGAGTGGTCGTGGTAAGGAGGAGAATAGTGTTGGGCTAGAAGAAAAGGGAAACCTAGGGGGTGTTTGGATAGGGAAAAAAGAGGATGCTTATTGCTTATTGCTTATTCCACCACAATAAGCTAAGTTTAAGTGTTTGGATAGGAATCCTTAAAAATCAGCTTATTGTGGTAGGGATAAGCTAAATAAGCTGATTTTAATAAGCATCTCCCCCTTGCTTATTGCTTATTGCTTATTGCTTATTCCCACCACAAATAAGTAATAAGCAATAAGCTAATAACCAATAATCTAATTTATCCAAACACCCCCCCCCCCTAGGCAGAGGGAGGAGAAATTAGAATTTCTCACCACGATTCTAGAGGGAAAGTGTCAAAGGCTAAAAGCCCGCTCAAATGGGCTTTGGGAGTTGGGACCATCAGAATCCATAGCAGTTCAATAAATTTAAATTTTACTTTTAATTTTGATTATATACATAGATTAAAAATGAAACCCTTATAAAACCTAACCAGGTACTGTTTATCGGATTATTTTACTTAATCTTGGTTACTTTCATTATTATTATTATTATTATTATTATTATTATTATTATTATTATTATTAGGTTATAGCCCGTTTAATACACGGTTAATAAATTAAAATAACATAGATAAGAATTGTAACAAAATAAGTGAAATGCGGGATTTTTTATAATTTATTATTTCACCTGATTGATTACTAAATATTTTGAATTTTAAAATATCTACTAATAATGTTAATTTTAAATGACTTAGAATAAGATTTAAATTTAAATTAAAAATCATAAAAAAAACATGTATTATTTTTAGATAATAAAAATTTAAAAGTTATAAAAAAATGACAAATGACAAGTTTAGAAATTTTTTCGTTAAAAAAGAAAGGTGATAATTATAATTAATATTATTAATACTATATTGTAAATCTTATTATTATTATTATTATTATTATTATCTTTATTAATACACAGACACACATACACATACATACACATGCGTACACACAAACACAATAATAATAATAATAATAATAATAATAATAATAATAACTAGAAGCGTTCCCCCGTGTTGCGTGGGTTGAAAGGTGTCGCTTTTCAGTAAAGTATGTTGGTATTCTCTGCAATTCTCTCGTTTACAAACGCATAATAGTCAAATATATTGTAGTATGCTA